GGAACAATTTAGCCACATTTGACGGGAGCAGAGCAGATGCGATTGAACTAAGGGAGACATGTGCGACTGGAGATCACACCAGTGCACTTTAGGAACGATTTAGCCACGTTTTAACCACGGTAAGCCTCCGTGTGATACTCCTCATAGTCCAACACTCAAACTACTACGCCACACTGGCAAATGAAATGCACACATGTGCCCATGCACATTCCTCCTAACCCAAAACTGATGCTCTCCTGTCCTCACATTGTTTCAAGTGAAGGGTGAAAAAGAGGCAATGCAATTCCTTCCCAGTCCCTCTCCAATTAAAAGGAGACTAGATCGTCCATCCCATCATCCCCCTTCAGCTAAGCTGATCTTGCAGGATCTCACGTTCAAAGACCAGCAGAAGCTGGTAAACCAGATGGCAACCGCCATGGGATCAAAAAGAAGTACATTTCCTCGACATTTGCAGCTTATGGAAAACCAGAGCTGGGCAGCTGTTAAGCTTTGCTTTTACCCTGATGTGGGTCCCGTGCCGGAAATAAGGGGGCATATTAATAATATAAATTATAATAATATAAACAAAAGAAAAAATAAAATACATTGGTACAAGTCCAGGAACCAATTTTATGTATCTAGGATTCAATAGGGGCCATTACTGTTGTTGTTAGAGTGCCACTATAATTATAATATTTTAATTTTATATAAAGAATTATAAAGAACTATCTACACGGTGGGGTGGGGGGAAGAGACACTAAATATTGTATAATATAATTATAATGGAGAGACAGAGTGGTGTAGTGGATTGAGTGTTGGACAATGACTCTAAGAGAAGAGGGTTCGAATCCCTGCTCAACCATGGAAACCCACTGGGTGACCTTGAGCGAGTCACACTCTCTCAGCCTCAGAGGAAAGCAAAAGCAAAAGCCCTTCTGAACAAATTCTGCCAAGAAAACCCCATGATAGGTTTATCTAAGGGTTGCCATAAGTTGGAAATGACTTAAAGGTACACAACAACAAATATATGTGTAAAAACACCTATCATATACTACATAACATAATTAAAATAGTGAGCCAGCATGGCATAGCGACGGACCATGACTCTGGGAGACCAGGGTTTGAATCCCGACTTAGCTTTGAAACTCGCTGGGGGACCCTGAGCAAGTCACACTCTCTCAGCCTTAGCGGGAGGTAAAGGTAAACCCCTTTTTGGACAAATTCTGCCAAGAAAACCCTATGATCGGGTCGGAAATAATCTGAAGGCACACAATAACAAACAACAATGGAAATACAGGACCATTAAAAAAGAACAGTGCAAAAGGAAAACTATAATTTACCACACACACACAAAACCCACACATACACAGTTCACCCTCTGTATCCACAGATTCTTTATCCACAGATTCAACCATCTGTCTTTAAAATATTCAAATATATATATATAAATTCCAAAAAGCAAACCTTGATTTTGTCATTTTATATAAGCGTCTTCATTTTACTCTCCATTGTATATACAATGGGACTTGTGCAGCCATGGATTTTGGGATCCATGAGGGTTCCTGGTACCAAACCCCAGCAGATACCAAGGGCCCACTGTATACATGTTGTTATTATTGTTGTTGTTGTTGTTATAGTTATTTGTATCCTGCTTCCCCCCCAAAAAACTGGGACTCAAAGCAGCTTAGAGCACTGTACGATTAAAAACATACAAAGGTGATGACATTAAAATAGTTAAATAATTACAATATTAAAACAGATTGCTCATTAAAATAATGTACACACAAATACATATATAATATGCATATAGTGGGTCCTTGGTGTGTTTGTGTGTACATTATTTTAATGAGCAATCTGTTTTAATATTGTAATATTGTAATGTGAACACACACATATATGCTGGAAATGGACTTCCAACTCTACAGGGTTTTTTAAAAAGAAGGGTGCAAAATCTTTTAAAGAATAAAGTAAAGAATAACTACCTCATCTATCTATCTATCTATCTATCTATCTATCTATCTATCTATCTATCTATCTATCTATCTATCATTTTTCTTTATTCATTCTTTAAAATAAGGTTTTGCACCCTTCTTTTTGAATCATCCTGTAGCTGGAAGTCCATTTCTGGTTTTGGAGGGGGGGAAAGGGGCTGAAACCCATGAAATTGGTGAAAATTCGCCCTCTTACTTGGAAGGAGACTCCACTATTATTATTATTCTACCCTTTGGATAAACTGATCTTGCTGTTGTTATTATTATTATTGATGTTATGGAGTGGCATCATAATTGTTAGTACTTTGATTTTATATATAAATATCTACACACACACAGATAGAATCAGGATATCTAGATATCCCTATAGATCTATATCTATATAGTATAATATAATTATAACAGAGAGCCAGTGTGGTGCAG